AGGAATGCCAGTTTTCAGTAGAAATTATTACAAGTATGCTGCTATTCCCATTATTAGAATTTATATGACAGTGCCATTAAAGAAGCTTATGCATCGCAGTAAATTATTGGTGAGACCAAAACATGGAAAAACCGTCCAAATTGTGCATGCTATTCTCTTTGTGTTTTCCAAATTATTTAGCAGACCTGTTACTTTTATAACCATAAAGGAAGCTGATTTAACTTTGTTATTAGAAATATTTCGAAGTCCGCTACACGTTTTATAGAACAGCTGGCCATGGGTAACTTCTTAGAATAATGAAACAAACTCATAGCTATCTTACGTTACACTTTGCACTTTGAGAACATTTCATGCTGAAGATTGTCATTGTCACCGCTTTAAGCGAGAGTTAGGAAAGGCAGGCCAGCGATTGCTTTTCAGTGGATGTCAGAAAACGAAATCATAAAACCTCAGGACTAGACTTCCAGTATTTACTTAAGAATAGGAAACGAGGGGCCAGCAGATGGCATGGTGGTTACATCGCTGGACTCTCATGTGGCCCAGTGCAGTTTGAATCCCAGACATGGTGGCTTGAAAATCATGCTCGGCGTGTGTGTGTGTGTGTGTGTGTGTGTGTGCGCGCACGCCCACGCCCAAAATCCCCAAAGGAGAAGGAATTGCAGAGAGCCGTCCTTCCTGGGAGTTGACTTCTTACTTTCCCTCTCTCTGTCTCTGTTTCTCTCTCTTTCCAGCAAAAGCACACAGCATTAGGCAAAAACCTCTGGGGAAAAAAAATCGCAAATGTGATGGCCCAGCTGTGGTGGCACAGGTGGTAGGGCACTGCTCTGAGGTGCTGGAACCATAGGGGAGGCCATGGTTTTGGTTCCTGGGTGGACTTGCATAGTTGGATGCACCCTCTTGTCAAGGGATCATGCCCCTCTCTCCCTTTCCTCCACTCAAGGGAGAGAGAAAAGGACACCCAAGACCTAAAACCTTGCTGTGGGACGTTCTGCTGGTTCGCGGCAGAGTCAGCACTAAGACCTACGTCTCTGGAATTCTCTCACTCACTCGCTCATCTGCAGCAGGCTCCCAGACTCAGGTCTCAGGGGTCAGGCGGGCAACCGATGGGTCAGGTGGCTCAGTGGGATGCAGGTTTCACTCAAGAGGCATGCATTCTTGTTTGTTTATTTTTTTAGAGAGAGATTTTTACTATAGGGCACGTGTGCTTCCCAGAGAGGCAGAAAGTGAAAAATCACCCCACAAGGGAGATGTCCATACTGCAAACCTCTCGCCTCTATTCTCCTCTCGGGATTTGGGGCATGCTCGCACACAGGCGCCCGGCAGAGACACGCACTCTTAAGACCTAGTTTTTTTCTTTTTTTAAGTGAGATTTTTGCTATAGGGCACGTGCGCTCACTGGAGAGACAGACAGAAAGCAAGAAATCACTCCCCAGAGGGAATGGCCACATGGAGATGTCCACACCGCAGTCCCTTCTTCTCTAGTCTCCTCTTGGGATTTTGGGCACACGTGCACACGTGCCCAGCGCGAATTTCAAGCCACTGGTTCTGGGACCGAGATCGCAGTCAAGTACATGGGAGTCCAGTGACGTAACCATTATGCCATCTGCTGGTCTCAAGACCTAGTTTTTCAAAAGTTTCTAGAAACCTGTTTTTTGTAAAAAAATTTGGTGGGTTGGAGCCAGCAGATGGCACGGTGGTTAAAGCTCTGGGCTCTCACTTGGCCAATTACAGTTGGAGTCCTGGACCTGATGGCCTAAGAATCATACCAGGCATGTGTGTGTGCACATGCCGGAAAAGCCCAAGAGGAAACCCTGTGGAGGGTGACTTTTCCCTCTCCCTCTCTCTCTCTCTCTGGCGAGCACACGCCTATGGCAGAAACCTTAAAGAAATGTGCTGGGTTTATTTTTCAATAGTTTGCTGTACGGCATGTGCTCACTGGAGAGAGACAGAAAGTGAGAGTTCACCCTCTGGGGGATTCCGGGCACATGCACACACACCTGGGGCGTGAACCGCGTCGCCGGCCATGTGGGATCCGGTCACCTTAGCCACCATGTCACCTAACTGGCCCCCAAAGTTTGGTGGGGTTTTAAGTATTGGCAGCCAGTTTTCTGAAGCCGCCCTGCAGACCAGGGAAACCGTACCGCAGGTCTTCTCTACCCGAGGCCCTGCCATCACCAGGCCCACTCGGTATCTGTCCTGAGCGTCTCTGTAGAGAATCTGCTCTGGAGCAGCTAATCCTCCCCTGGTTACTGCTGCTCGCCTCTTTTCCCTGCCTCCGTCTAACCAACAGTGAGGTTTTACTGCATTCTACGTACTTGACTCCATTCTGATCTTAAAATTCTTGGAAAATAGCCGGCTCGGGAGGAGAAACGTCTTCATCCTCTTCATTTGGTGCAGCTGCTTTGCTGCTGTCTGTGATGGGGACCGTGGCCGCCAAGTCGTCTGGAGGACCCGGTCCGCAGGGGACCTAGGGCACAGACAGTGACTGGGATGAAGGGCCAGCACGCGTGAGGTCCGAAGCACCGAGGGAGTCCAGGGAAAGGCTGAGTAGACGAGGTGGCGCTCGAGTCTCTGGAGGGAAACGATCTGAAATCAGCCCCACAGGAAGAGCAGTGCGGAAGTGGGGGTCTGGCCATGGGGCCCCAGAGGGATGTAGCTGGGAAGGCCAGACAGGCAGGCCCGGGGACTTGATGTTCCGGGCAGTGGGGTGGGAGTGCACAGCCCCTGCCTCCCTCCGTGGTGAGACGCTGCTGTGGCTGCCGGGCCCGTGGGGACTGCTGTGTTCTCAGCGCCCGGGTCACCGTGACATGAGCCCCTGGCCGGAGCGAGTCTGGCCTGGAGAAGCGGCAGGTGCTCAGCACTGAGCTGAAGGTGACAGCATGAGGGACAGGTGCCTGAGGAGCGGTGGGCAGGTCGGGGCAGAGCCAGGGCAGGTGGCGGCGAGGGCCCCACAGAGGCCCAAGAGACCCCTGATGCTCTTGGGGACTCTCAGGATCCAGCGCCCACCCTGGGTTTCTTTGCAGAATGTTCGCATCCTGCCCCAGACAGTGCTCTACATGGCCGACTCCGAAACGTTCATTAGCCTGGAAGAATGTCGCGGCCACAAGAGAGGTGAGTATAAAAGAGAACGTTGTGGGGCCAGCACATGGCATGGGGGTTAAAGTGCTGGACTCCCAAGTGTCCGGCTGTCGTTCGAGGCCAAGACCTTCCGGTTCGAAAATCACACTGGGTGCGTGTGCATGCATGCCCAAAATCGCAGGAGGAAAATGGAGAAGAAAGGATGGCAGCACGGCCGTCCACCTTGGGAGGTGATTTCTCACTACCCCCCACCCCCAATCCCTCTGGTACTGCATGCGCTCTATGGCAAAAATATGTGTGTGTGTATATGTATATATATGTAAAATAGAGTATTGTGTGTTGTTTCCTGTGTCCCTGTGCTAGTTCCCAGGTACTGGGCCCTGGGGACTCTGGAAATACCCCTGTTGTGTGCATGACAATCCTGCTTTTGACTCTCGAGGAGCTGGTGGCAGGTTGAGCTCTGTGTCCTTCGCAGAGCAAACGAAACAACGTCTTGGATGTGTATTTGTTTTTAAAGTTGACCAGGGAGCATGTGCGCTCACTGGAGAAAGGGGGGAAAGAGCGGAAGTCCAGGCGAGTGCCACACTGCACTCGCCGCTCCGGTCTCCTCTCAGGATTTGGGGCACGCACATGCCCTTGGCATGGTTTCAGGCCTCCGGGTCTGGGACTCGAATTGCTTAATTAGCTACATGGGATCCTTAGCCTCCACGCAATCTGCCAGCCAGAGACGAGTTCTTTAGAAGGGTGTTTTTCTCCTTTTGAAATGCTTTAGCCCTCTGGGTCGTACTTTATTGTTAAACAGGATGTGTGACTTTGGCCGGCCAAGCCTTTTGTGTTGCATCCTGGGCCCCGTTTACAAGGTTACCTACCCGCAGGTACTGTGCATTTGGGCCACCGAGGCCTAGAATTAGTCGGGTAACGGCTGCTCAGGTCTCGTCTGAGTCCGGTCGACTGTACAGGGAGGTAGCCGTCAGACTAGCTGAGGTGCAGCAGCGAGGTCACAGCACAGCCGCTGCCGCCAGCCTGACATCACAGGCCAAAAGCCGTGTGCAGACACGGGACAGGGAAGCTTGTGACACTCAGTCAGACTTAGAATTTAAAATCTAAAGCAGGGGACCAGCAGATGGCATAATGGTTACGATGCTGGACTCCCACGTAGTCGACTCTGGTTCTAGTCTGGGGCCCTGCAGCTTAAAACGCACTAGACGCGTGTGAGTACGTGTGTGTCTGCCCAAAATCCCAAGAAGAGGATGGAGAAGGGTTTGCGGCGTGGCCATCACCCCAACTGGGGGGTGATTTGCTTTCTGTCTCTGTCTCTCCAGCAAGCACATGCACCCTATAGCAAAAAATCTCTCTCAAAAAAAAAATCTAAAGCAGGGGCCAAATGGGGGGAAATTTTTTTAGAATTATTTATTCAATATTATTTATTACTATTATTTTGGATATTTTATAGGGCGTGTGTGTTCACCAGGGAAGGGGGGAGGGAGCCAGGGAGCCATCAGGACTGGGTTCAAACCACGGTCGGCCATGTGGGAGTCCAGCACCCCAAACTACCTCACAACCTGTTGGCCCAAAAGTTTCTTTGAAGCAAAGCTTTTAGGTTTTCTTATAAAGTGCTCAGAGGTCAAATGACTTAAAGATATTCAGTATTTGCTGTTTTCCTTCCTCTTTTATAGTCAGATTTGACAGTAACTGGTTGCTGTTTAATGATTCGACTGGTTTATTGCAGCAAGGAAGAGAACCAGCATGGACGCGGCTCTAGCCCTGGAGAGGCTCTTCCCGAAGCAGTGCCAAGTCCTTGGGGTCGCGACCCCGGGAATCGTAGGTGAGAAACGTCAGCATCTTGATTTCCTCCTTGGTTCGAGCAGGTCGTACGGACTGGTCAATTGTTTGTAGCTTAAAGCACATTTATATTTCTGGCCATCCAGACTACAGTGAAGGTGGTCCTCCTTCCCCGGGTACGTTGTCTTTGACTGACCCGAAAGTGCATTAGGTCGCAGTGGTGAGTATTGCGAATCTCACGCTACTTGCGTAACCAGACATTATGCCTATCTTTCCGGTTGCCGTGCATCAGAGACAGAAGATCTCATTCTGCCCCATTTCAAGTTACAGTAGAAAAAGTACTGTGCAAGTTTTCAGAGTTAATAGTTCAACCGGTCCTGTTTGCAGAGGTCAGGGCAGAGCGGGGTGGGATTAGAGAGATGATAGGTCTTCCAGGAAACTTCTCATTCTCCCGTAGTTACTGCTGTTTGAGTAGCAGGAGGCGGTTCCGTTCTCCGTTCTCCGTGCTCGACTGCTGCTGGTGGATTTTTCCTGGTTTTCGTTATTCTCCATTCTTCCCTGTAGGTGACTGGGGGGGAGGAATCCTGTTGCGGCATTGTTGAGGCAGAGGTTAAAATACCTGGATTAGGGAGCCAGCAGGTGGCTGATGGTTCAGGCCACTGATCTCACGTGGCTGACTGCGTTTTGAGTTCGAGCCTGCTAGGCACATGTGTATGCGTGCCCCAGAGCTGATAGTAAAGGAGGACGGACTGCAGTATGGCCATCCGCTGGGGTGGGGCGGGTGTGACTGCTCACTTCCCTTCTCTCTGTCTCTCTCCAGCAAGTACACACGTGACTCTGTAGCAAGTTAAAGAAGAACATACCTGATGAGAACCCCAGTTGTATTCCTTCCTGTCCGTGTGACTTTGTGCAAGCTACCTAACTTTGCGGGGCTTCCGTTTCCCATCAGGGCAATGGGGTAGCAGTGCCTTCCTGGGAGGGTTGTGGGGGCTAAATGATTTATCCGTGGTGGAGAGATGCAGGAGGCAACGTGTAAATTTTAGCTGTTAGGATTGTGTGTGTTTCAACTCTGGTTCTTCCTAACGGGCGTTTTCATCAAGAGACGCTTCTTGTTCTGAATGTAGGAGTCCTGTACGATGAAGTACAAAGGCTGTCGAGCGTTTATAAAGGAATAGGGTAGCTATACAGTTGACCGGTTCCCCTCCACAGGACCCCCCCACCACTTCTTTCTAACGCTGGAGGACGTGGGCATGCACATGCGTGCTAGAGCGGGAGGACCCTCCGCAGGGCGGCCCGGCCACGTCACAGTCCTTCCTCTTCCCTCCAGTTCTCCATCCCGTCAGGGTTGTAGGCACATGTGTGCACGCCTGGCTTGTTTTTCAAGCTGCTGAGACTGGCCGTGCACTCTGGTCGGCCCTGTGGGACCCAGTCCCTCTGCACCTCTCCTAGCTGCTGCAGTACAGGGCTGGCCCGCCTCGCGCTTCCTACTGTGTCTCGTCCCCCACCTCCAGCGGGTGTCCTCTGAGCAGCTCTGCACGCGAGCAACTTCCACCAAGACGTGATCGCGTTCCTCTCTCGGACCACAGTACAGTGAGATTTCGGGAGAGCTGTTTCCTTTCCCTCTTCCTTCATTAGGTTGGAGAAATGGCAAGTTTGAAAAAATATGTTCATTTTCACAGGTGTAGAAGTCGCTTTCATTTTTAAAGCACTTGATGGTGAAATATACTGTCTTAAATGTGCAGAATATTTCTATCAGTTCAGAAAGTTCCCTTGTGCTCCATTCCTGTTCACCTCACCTTGTTTAACTCCAGATGTGAACTGGCCACCTCGTCGTGGGGCCACCTTTGCAGAGCGTCATGTTGCATGTACCGCTGTGCCACCGTCTGGCCCGCTTTCCTTTCTTCCTTTTTTTTTTTTTTTTTCCTTTCTTAATCCCCAGAGGGGAAATGTGCTTCATCACCAAGGGAGAAAGCATCCCCCACAACGTGTGGTCACACTGCAGTCCCTTGTCCTGTTCCTCATCCTGTTGGAATTTTTGAGCACATCTGCCTGGTGTGTTTTTCAAGCAGCTGGGGCCAGGATTTGAACTGCAGTTTGCCATGTGGGTTCCTGCTGCCTTAACCATCGGGCGATGAGGCCAGCTGCCTTTTCTTTTCTTCCTTCCTTTTTTATTTTTTTCCTCCTCAACTTGCTGTAAGGTGTGTGTATTCCCCAGGGAGAAAGAAGGTTGGGAAGGCAGCCTCTGGGGGAATGGCCACGCCACAATTGCTTCTCCATTTTCCTCTCTGCATTTTTGAACACTTACACACACACGCCCAGTGTTTTTCCAGCTGCCTGGTCCAGGACTCAAACCATGCAGCCAGCTGTGTAGGATCCAGCCGCCGTATAGCCACCACGCCAGCAGCTGGCCCCGAAGAGTGTCTTTTGACAAGCAGAAAACGTAGTCTGGTGAAATTCAGTTTATCCATTTTTTTTCGTTTATGGTTGATGATTATCTCTAAGAAATTTGCCACCCCCAGCGTCACAGAGATACTGTTCTCTTATGTGAACTGTGTAGTTTTATATTTAATTTTCTGACCTGATTTGCATTTTAATGTGTGTGTTAGTTAAGGGTTTGAAGTTCATTTTCCCCCGTATGTTTATCTAGTTACGTAATCACCACTTGCTGAAGACTTTTCGTTCCTCCCTTACCCCTGGCACCTTTGTCAGAAATCGCTGACCCTGTGTCTGTGGGTCTGTGCTTGGATCTGATGGCTTCACTGACCCGTTCGACTCTCCTTGAGCCACTGCCATACCATCCCCATTGCCGTAGGTCTTGACTAGGTCCTTCGCATTTCCAAAATCAGCCTGTCAGTTTCTACAAAAAACTCTGTTGGGATTTTTAGTTCGGGTTGTCTTGAGGCCTGCTGCAGACATTGTAAAGATTGCTTTTATGTTGGGACCAGCAGGTGGCGTGGTGGTTAAGGCGCTGGACACTCCCACATGGCCAACCACGGTTCAAGTTCTGAACCGGATGGTTTGCTTTCTCACTCCCTCTCTCTGGCTGATCAAACTGGAAAATAATAAAGTTAAATAAAATAATTTTTTAAAAATTGCTTTTATGTTTTAATATTTTTTGTAGGAAAAACAGTCTTATAGTACTGAAATTTTATTTGTATATTTTAATTAAAAATATGTTTGATACTTGATTTTGTTCTTTTTTCTTCAAATATTAATTTTTTTTTTATTTTTACATTTTCCCACATTTACTTTACATATCAAAAAATTTTTGCTCATATTCCATAGTTCCTGACAGTTAGTAAACAACTTTCAAAATTTCAAAATACTGAATTTTAAAGATAAGATAATGTTCAAAATATTTCTTATAATTTTGCTTGTAACTCTATAACAACAGAGACAGTGTGGTTTTAATTTTTTTTTTTTTTTTTGGAGAGGTTTTCGCTATAGGGCGTGTGCGCTCGCCAGACAGACAGAGAGAGACAGAGACAGAAAGCGAGAAATCACCCCCCAGGGAGGATGGTCACGCCACAATCCCTTCTCCTCCATTCTCCTCTCAGGATCTTGGGCACGCATGCACGCACACGCGCCCGGCGTGAGTTTTAAGCCACCGGGTCCGGGACGCGAACCATGGTCGACTACGTGGGAGTCCAGCGACATAGCCATTACGCTAACTGCTGGTTCCCGGTTTTAAATATTTTTGAGAAAATATTTATATATCAGCAATTCAAATTGTTGAAAAGCAAATGCCCAGCACACAAGTCACACATACACCTTCTCAATTCAGCCCTGCCTACCAAGTATTCTGTGATAGACTACCTGCTAGCAAAGATCAATCTCTTTTTTCTTCCTTCAATGTCTTCCTCAATGTAATCCTCTGGTGTGGTTGCTCTTTTGCACTCTCTAGTGATTACACTGCTGGGCTGGAAAAGTCCAGGTTATTTTACGTTATTAATTATTTTGTATATATTCTCTAATCCTCTGCCAGGCAGAACTATTTACGGTGCCAGGCCTTCTTTCTAAGAGCTCTGTTGGCTACTTGAGGTCCGCCTTAGTTCCATAGTTTCCTGAGAAATCTTCAGATAGGACATTCCAGCTAAAGCCCTGTCCAATAATGAGTATTTCCAATTTCTGATTCAATGCAACAAGCATTACTGAACTTACGCAAATAGCCCTTCTGCCACAAAACAAGAATACACCCAAACATTTTCCCGTTCCAGAGGGGTCAAGAAGGAGGAAAAGTTTGTTTTCATTTAAAGAAACAAATAAGAAAAACATTTTAACAAATTGCTGAATATATCAACAACTCAGAAGAAAGTAAAATGCTTAAATTGGGAAAACAAAGCATAGTAAAAAAAAAAAATCAGTAATGTTTTACTCAAAAGTTATAAAATTCTATTTCTCCAGTTCAGTCTTTTGTTCAGACTCTCTTCTGTTGAATGCGCAGCGTTGCTGTGGCCCGGTCTTTCTGTTAAGTCCTGGGAGGTAACAGTCAATGCCGTTATTGATTTATTGATACATCTTGTTCCTAGCATTGCATTGATTTTTTTTTTTTTTTTTGAGAGGTTTTTGCTATAGGGTGTGTGCGCTCGCCAGAAAGACAGAAACAGAGAAAGTGAGAAATTACCCCCCCACCCCCGGGGGGAGGGATGGCCATGCCACAATCCCTTCTCCTCCATTCTCCTCTCAGGATCTTGGGCACGCACGCACACGCGCCCGGTATGAGTTTAAGCCACCGGGTCTGGGACTCTAACCGCTGTCTACTACATGGGAGTCCAGTGATAGCCACTACGCTAACTGCTGGTCCCTAAATTGATCATTTTCTTGGTTGCCTTTTATTCTCTTATTTATGTGTCTTTAGTTTTCCTGGTGGAGCACTCCTTTCAGATCTTCTTGAAGAGTGGGTCTGCTCTTGGCAAATTCTTTCAGGTCTTGTTTATCTGAAAATGCTTTTATCCTTTCTTTCCATATGAAAGATAATCCTGCCGGGTATAATATTCTTGGTTGAAACTGTTTTTCACTTAACACTTTGAATATATTTTCCCATTCTTTCCTTGCTCGCATTGTTTCTGCTGAGAGGTCAGAGGTTAGCCTGATAGGATAACCTTTATAAATAACCTGACATTTCTCTCTTGCCAATTTTAGTATCTTGTTTTTGTAGATTTGGCCAGTCTGGCTATGATGTGCCTTAGAGAAGATCTTGGGTTGATTCTATTAGGGATCGTTTGTATTTCTTGGGTCTGAATCTTTGAATGCCTCTTTAGATTTGGAAAGTTTTCTTCCAAGATTTCATGGACTAGATTATGAGTGCCCCTATTAGTTTCTTCACCTTCTGGGATATTGATTATCGGGATGTTTGGGTGCTTAATGCTGTCTAGTATTTCCTATAGTATTCTCATTTTTGAGGGGTTATTTTCTCATTTTTATTTTATTTTTTGGTTGTCTTTCCTAGATCAGAGGTTTTACCTTCCACATCCAAGGTTCGATTTTCTGCTTGGACTAATCTGCTTTTAATACTTTCGAGGGAGGTTTTGATTTCCTGAATGGCAGCCTTCATCTCTAATAGCTCCGTTTGATTCTTTTTTATGGTGTGTACTTCCCCTTTCAGATCATGGAAGAACTTCAACGCCTCCTGGAACTCGTCGTCTCTTTTTTTCCTGCGTCTTCTGGAGTTCATTACCTCTCAACTCCTGCGTCTCGTTTAGTTTTGTCACTACGAATATTCTGAATTCTCTATCAGACATTTCCATGAGATCTACTGTACTGTCTGTGGATGATGAGGGATTGTTCTTTTCCTTGGGGGAGAGAGAGTTTCTTGGTTTCTCGTGTTTCTTGTGCCTCTGCGGTGGTTTCTGGTCATTCTGTGACAGAACCTCTCCTCCACTGGTCTGAGTATTTCGGGAGCCTAGAAGATGGAGTTTAGAGCATGGCTTCCCTGCACAGGCCAGGACACACCGCGGCTTTAAATGGCGTCTGGTCTGAATATTTTGGGAATCTCTTCAAATAGTAATTTTTCATTTTGCTTTGGCGTGGTTTCTAAAAGACTTAAAACATCTTTTGAAACTTGTTTTAATATGCATTTATCTGAAAAGAAAAAGTAATTAGAAGGTACAAGTAGGCCCGGAAAGAAAAGAAAGGACCACAGAATTAACCAGCCTATTAATGTTATGGTGGTAATGATTGTGTACGTGAAAAATCTGAATCTGATTTTCCATAGATTTTCCACAGATTTTCCACAGCCTGCTGTGTAGTCTGCCAGGGCTGCTGTCACAGAATGCCAGGCTGGGTGGCTTCAGCAGTGGAGATGTATCTTCTCAGGGCGGAGCTCTTCCCAGGACCGCCGTGAGCTGTGCCTCTGGCCATGTCTCACCGTGTTCCTGCACGGCTGTGTCTGCGTTTATAAGGGTCGAGTCCTACTGCCCAGCGCCCCCCACCCCGTGACCTCACGTAACCTGAGTTAGCTCGTAGAAGCCCTTATCTCCAAACAGGTGTCGGCTCCTACAGCCTCAGCTTGTGAATCTGGGGGAGGAGACACAGTTTGGTCTCTAAGCTCTCCCTTTAAGACTTGGAGCATACGAGCCCCTGTGACATGGGCTTGCGGTGCTGGAAGCCGCAGGGCCTCTTTCAGGTTTGCATGTCTGGGTCACCTGAAAACATGGCGTGTGCGTTGCCCAGGACCCTGCCATACCCCACAGTGTGACAAGGCCCTTTCGAGGTTGCTTGTCTGTCTGTCTGTCTGTCATCCCCCCCGCCACTCCATGCACAGCCGGGGTGTACAGGTCTACCTGGGAACCGAACCTTAGGCTGCCATGTGGATCTAGCATCACAGAGCAGGCAGCCCCATCATCATGCGTTTGCCAGAGGCAGGGGAGAGGAGGTGTGGGCAGGGGTGAGGGCGAGCCTTCCTCAGCAGGGCCTGGGCTCATGCAGGCCTCTCCCTGCATTTCTCCGTCCCATCAGGACTCCAGCACACGAGTGTGACCGGCATGTTTTGAAGCCTCTAGGGCCGGATTTGAACCACAGTCAGATACACGGGTCGGGGGTCTGGATCGGCTCCCTTTGCACAGCACTTAACCACTGCGTATGGTGGCAGCCCCTTCGTCATTCTTAGTGGCTGTATTTACTGTATGAATGAAAGATTTCATCTAAATACTGGTATATACCACCTAGGCTTTTTTACTTGTATTTCCCTTAAAAACACTTCTGGGATAAAAGTACCCGTGTGTCTGTGTGCTGTATGTAATCGTCCGGTGTTTGGGGTAAGTTTTAAAAGGGGAATTGCTCTGTCCTGAAAACGTCAATGCTGAAGAACTCGCTTGGCTACTGGCCCGTTGGCTGGTGGTCGCCCTGGCGTGTACCGCGGCTCGTAGCTGGGACCGGTGCCACACGGAACTGCACCCTGTACTGAATCACCAACCAACTTCGTTTTCCCCTAGTGACGCCAATGGGCTCCGGTAGCAATCGACCTCAAGAAATTGAAATTGGAGAATCTGGCTTTGCTCTACTATTCCCTCAAATTGAAGGGATAAAAATACAGCCTTTTCACTTTATTAAAGATGCAAAGAGTTCAGCGCTGGAGAGGCATCAGCTCGCGGAAGTAGGTAAGTCACTGCCGCCCGTTGTTCCGGCTCATTGTGTTGATCACTTTTGTTCTGTTTTAAATTCGGGCCGGTTGAGGGTGATTAGGCTCCGTTGGGAGAGCCTGCCGTGAGTACGCCTGTCACTGGAGACGTGCATCTTCTCACTGGTGACTAACAGAGGCTGGTCTGGCACATTTGTGGTAGAATTGACTTTTTAAATCACTTTGCTCGCGTTAAAGCCCGAGAGAACCAGAGATAAAACTTTTCCCATACTCTGTTGATAAAGATGTGTGTATTTAATTCTGAATTTTGAAGGAATGCTTGCTCTTTGAATAATTGCTTGTCATTTTGCCTTTTTTTTTTTTTTTTTTTTTGGTCTTTGGAAGCTGAGAAGTTGTTTTTTGTTTTTGTTTTTTTCTCGGCTTTCGTTTATTTTTAAAACTAGTGATACACATTTGTTGTAGAAAAGATTCAGAACATAGAGGTGGTTCCATGTGGCCTCCTTAGAAAGGTGAGACAAGCACGGTGACCTTGGTGGCTGTCAGGTCGTGGGGGTTGTAGGAGGCCGGGCCTAAGGCAGGTCGCAGAGGTGGTAGGATTGCGCTTGGCCCCATCGGACAGGAGGCATGACTGGAGGGACGGAGAAGTGAGGGGCTGGCTGCATTCAGAGCCCAGCGAGAAGGCCGAGTGGAGCGTCGTAGACAGCAGAGGTGGGCGGCAGTGGTCACTCCAGCCAAGCAGCGATAAGGCCTTTTATCTACGTGTGTGATGGAATCCACTAGCATTGTTCAACTCACTGAATAATCTCTAAACACTGGGGCCAGCAGGTGGCATCATAGTTAAGGCGCTGGACTCCTTCCTGGCTGACCGTGGTTCAAGCTCCAGCCCCGGTGGCTTGGAAATCACGCCAGGCGCATGTGTCCACGTGCCCAAACCCACAGTAAGATTGGACAAGGAGGGATTGTGGCACTGCCGTCACCCCTGGGAGGTGATTTCTCACTATTCCTCTCTGGCAAACACACAAGCCATACAGCAAAAACCTTAAAAAGCAAACAAAAACCGAATCACCGTGGGCATAGACTCAGTGGTCATGGGCAGCCAGCCTGGAGACACGGGTGTCTGTCACCTGTAACGGCGCGGAACCCGGCAGCGGGGGAGCCTGTACGGGCTAGCGGAGGGCGTCAGATCCCTCATGGCTGACCACGGTTCAAATCCGGGCCCCAGCAGCTTGAACACGCCAGGCACGTGTGTATCCGCGTCTCAGCCATCAGGAAGGAGAACCAGAGAAGGGATCGTGGTGGGCCACACTCCACTGCGGGTGCTGTCCCCTCCCTCCCTGGTGAGGGCATGTGCCCTCTGGTCAAAACAAAAGAGGGGAAGGAAATGAGCAAATGATGAGATAGAGGGGACGGGGGCTCGGCGGTACTGGGAACCTCGAGCCCAGTGGGGACATGGTGTTGCAGAGGACGGGAAGTAGGGACCACGGGGACAGGAGCAGCAGGAGGGGCAGCACCGGGGACCAGTCGCACCCACCAGGCGTGTGCTCGGCCTCCGAGGCTGTGCGTTGCTCAGTCGTGCGGCCACACCCTCTCCGTGCTGTCAGCAGGTCCGGAGGTCGTGTGCTCCGCCCGCCCCCTGCAGCGCCATGGGAATCCTTGCTGAGGTCCCGACCTGCAGCCCTGGTCGGATGGAGAATCCTAGTTTTGTCAGTTTACAGGAAACGGCCAAGGTGGCGCAGAAGCCGTGTTAGCATCGAGTTGTCGGGCGTTGTCCACATCACAGCGCCACGTGCAGGAGGCCAGCTCTGAAGGACCGCGCCACCCCGTCCTCCTGCCCCGTGAGGCTTTCCCCGAGTGTCCTTGCCTGGCAGTTCTGGCCTCTTCCAGGACCTTGGTTTCGTCCTGTCTGTGCCTCATGGAAGCCGAAGCTCTGCCTACACTGAGACGGTGCTCTGTCCTTGCACGTCCTGTTTCCTTCCTAGTTTTATGCATTTCTAAGTTGGGCCCGTTGTCTCTCTCGTGCTCAAGACAGAGGCCCCTGCAGCCGGCAGGGGGCACACGGTGGGAGGACGTGCAGTCCCAGCGTACCCTCCGCCCGCGGCCCGGCTGTGCCCTGGGGCAGTGAGCGCGGACATTCGGCCGAGTGCCCGCGGGCTGTGGCAGCCCGCGTGAAGGGCCGGTAAATACTGCAGGTTCTGCCGCTGCGTCTCCGCTGCCTGCTCAGCTCTGCTGCTGGGATGACAGGAACGGGTGGCCGCACCCCAGTGGAGCTTTGTTTTCAGCGAGAAACGGCAGTGGGCAGTGCTCCTCCAGCCTGGCGTCCTCAGCGACAGCGACTTAGAGCTCCTGGGAGACTCGAGGAGGCAGAGGGGCCGAGCCCTCTCTTACGGCGCTGGCCTTGGTCGTGCTGGTCTGCTGGGCCACGTGTGTGGGAGACGTCCCCTGACCCGGCGTCACAGGACACACAGCTTTGCACACACGGCTGCGCCTCCACCGGAGCATCTGCCCGAATGGTGCGCTTTAGAAAGAAGGCGTAGTGGGTGCAGGCCCGTGCGGCTCAGGGTCAAAGTGCATCTCTGGCGTGATACGAGAGTGGGAGTGGGCAAGCACATCATTCGCTCTTTTTAATTCTGTTTTTGTTTTTTAAATTTTCATTTAACTTTATCCATTTATTTATTCACTTAAATTTGACCAGAGAAGGACAATGGGAGAGAAAGAGAGAAAGTGAGCTGCCAGGTCCAGGACTCGAACCGCGGTCGGCCACGTGGGAGTCCAGCACCCTTAGCCACCGTGCCACCTGCCAGTCCCCAGCACTCCGTTCTAACGGAGTAAAAGCAAAAACATCTCAAGTGAAGTTTCATTAAAAAAGTCCTTGAAAAACGATTTATGAGTGTGACGTGTTGGTCACTGTGCAGTGACACGGTTCCTAACTCCTGGAGCTGCCCGTACAGCGGGTGGCCTGGCTCCACGGCGCAGCCGATCCCACGTGGGGGCTGTGGTTTGGATCCAGGGCCCGGCGAGCCTGACACCCGGTGGCCTCCACAGTGAGGACTGGACGGCGGCGGTGCGACCGGGCCGTGTGCTGGTGGTGCTCTCCCTCCCTCCCGTCCTCTCTGCCACGTGCACTTGCTGGAGAGCAGCAGAGAGAAACTCCCCTCCAGGGGCACAGCCATCCTCAACCTCCTCCTCACTCTTCTCTCAGGATTTTCTGGGCCCACGGACACCCCGCGTGCTTTTTGTTTGTTTTGAGAGGCTTTTTGGCTATAGCGTGTGTGCTCACTGTAGAGACAGGGACGGAAAGTGAGAAATCACCCCCCCAGGAGGGATGGCCACGCCGCAGTCCCTTCTCCTCCATTCTCCTCTCGGGATCTTGGGCACGCACGCACACGCGCCCAGCATGAGTTTTAAGTCACCAGGTCTGGGACTCGAACCACCGTCGACTACGTGGGAGTCCAGCGACGTAACCATTACACCATCTGCTGGTCCCTCCCGGTGTCTTTTTCAAGCCACCAGGTCTAGGACTCCAGGCACTCAGCTATGTGGATCCAGCTGCCTTAACTCAGTCTGTGACCTGCTGGCCCAGAAAAAAAATATTTTAAAAATTAAAGTAAAAAAGATGTGATGTTACCAAGTGGAAGC